AAATGATCAACACTGCCATTGTTATTGGGTTACAGAATCAAAGTTATCATGTTTCCATTTATAGCATGTTATAGCAACAATTGGTGATAAATTATTGTTGATTAACAATGTTAATGTTTCATTATGTACAGTCTGGGTTGAGTGTTTGATGAGTTTGTTGGTTAACCAACTTGAAAGGATCAAATTAACATGAAAAGAAACTTTAATTTCACTTTTAAATTGTGTATTATTTAATGCCAACTGAATCAGATCATTAAAGTAAATTGTAATAATGATCATTTTTTGTAGCAACAACCAAATATATCAATTGTAAATATCTGAAAATTGCTTTACATGGAGACTTCATTGATGCTATTATTTGCTAATGAAACAGATGATTAAATTGAATAATTAGACAGACAATTAGACGATATTCCGAGAGACAGAAAATGGCTCAAAATGAATGAATGGCTTCAGGTAACATGATCAATTGAATTAAATTAATTTTTTCATTTTTTGTTTTTTCTTTCTGTTGATATTTCTTTTTTCACTATTACCTTTAACTTCATTATTGTAGCTGGCAATTTTCAATCCAGAATGATTATTAATATTATCATTTAATTCATTTGATTGCCAAGTCTTTCTGATTAATCTGAAAAGTTATTTTGCTTTTTTTGCTTGGCAGGCTTTTGAACAGTTATAAACAATGGTTGACAATTGGGCAAATCAACTGCTAACATTGAGAACCTTGAAAATGGCTTCAAGTTAAACAGGATTTGATTAGAGTTGTTCAGCGTATTTTTGTTCACTAAGAAGATATCATTTCAATGATTAAATTAAAAAGCTATCAATTTGTCAAGTAATGATTGTAAATACAAGTTAATCTAAACATTTGAAGAAGCTTTCAATAAAAGGCGGTAAAAGCAAAAAAAACAAAAACTTTACAAATTGGAATCTCATTCAGGTTGGACATTTTCATGATTGATTAAAATTTCCTACAAAATGAGACCAACGAGTTTTGTCATTATTACGTTCATTAGATTGAGCAATATTTTGACCGTTTTAATCGCCATTCAACGAGAATTGAATGACTTTTACTCAAAATTATCGTCTTTGTTGATTACACAAGTATTTTAAACATTCATTTATTAATATACTAGACTAACAGTTTACAATAATAATGAAAAATAAAACAATATCTTCAGACGTTAAACTTTGACTAGCAAGTCCTGTGCTCAGTGGTGTAACCATTACCATTACCTTTTGATGGAGAGAAAGCATTCAAGTTCGGGTTGATATAAAGCCAAACCGACTGTTCCGACCATAAATTCAAAACGAATTGATATTTGTTTGTCTGATATAAAATGATTTATGACTAATGTAATGTCTGATGTATGACCGATGAGCTATTACTCTAAACTCTGAGTGAGTGTTAAATACACTGCGCTTCATAAGTATAACACCAGAATATTTTGATTTTACTGATCTTTAGGATAATTAAGGGTAGCTTTGGATTAAACTTATCACAGACAAGTCAAAGGTCTAAAATTTTAGGTCTTATCAAACTGTTACAATAACCTGATGATGTTTTCAGAAGTTAAACTCTGACTAAACCAGCTTCAAAGGTGATAAAATATTCCTCCAAACAGATCAAAGGTTGATCTTAAACCTTAAGTTTGATCAATTTGTTGTAACAATGCAAATGATGTATTTGAATCTATGAGTGAAAGATGATTCAGAGCCGTTTGGCCTTGTCTTTAGATGAAATATTTATCTGAACCGAATCAGAGCTTTATGTGATCATAATTTTCAGGGCTTATCAATTATCTTGTCACAATGATAAATGAATAAATAATCGGATCATGCCCATAACACGTTGAGTTGCACCCAATAAATCTGTGAAAGTGAATAGTCAATATTCAATACAAAAGTTTGATGCATTCATCAGTTAATAAGACTAAAAAATGTAAACATGAAAATACGATTTCAATTTCATTGTTTCTCTGATTATCCTTGAAGATGATCAGAACGATTTATGACCAACAAAACGCAAAATATTGTCATCATCGATGTTAACATCATTAATGGACAACATTAAAGATTCAGTGAATTATTATTCAAGGTAGAAAAAAAAGAGAAGACGAAATAAAGAAATAAAAATGTTCATTAAAAGTGATTAAATTGACTGCAACTCATATAGTACGTAAGGTCATGCTGGACAATTTCATGTCACTTTCATCAACAATGCGTTTTTAGCTTGAATCATCATTACAATTTACCATCAAAACTGCATGATGGACACAACAAAGAGATTAGGTTAAAAGTGAAACTTGAGCGAAGACAAATGATGAAAAAAAGAGATAATCATTATTGGAAGAACGAACGAAATTTGGTAAACCAAGTTAATGGAAGATTTGCATTGAAGAAATGCACAAACAGAACTTTATATTCAATTAAAGGGGTTAATTCGTGTTGGATCGATTCGAAGACCTTCTTCATCCTAATTATATAAAAACTATTGTGACCTTTAAAAGTTGATCAAGTCCATTGGGAGTTGAAAATAGCTGCAAGCTAAACAATATTATCATTTACGCTTTCAAGTTATCTTTACATTTGATATTTAATGAGCGCAAAAACATCTTTTGGAAACTCCGGAATCGTGGTAAATCGACTCTTTAATAACCATTCATCGGCCTTGATCGATTTAACCCGACACTTGCGATAACAAATGTTGACTGAAAGTCAAGAGCGAAATCGAAAACAAAACTGAAACAAAAAAAATTGTTGTTCATCGCTTTGATCAATTGTCCAAAATTTTCTCACTGATCGATTCCCATGTAAGAATTTCTTTTTTTCAGAAATCATTTTTTTTGCACTTTTCCAACAGCTATTCTGGACCGACTAATGAATGTTAATATCTTTAGCCTTGAAATGATTAGGATAACCTCGTCAAAATATTTACTGTGTTCTGATTACATGTCATGATGTGATGATTAGCAACTGAATGAGAACTGAAAAGGTTGAAACTAACGATTACACAAGAAGTGTAAAAGTGAATTTTACTTTTTGTGGCCTCAGGTCACAATGAAAGTGGCGAAAAGAAAAGTTGAACGTAAACAAGAAATGATAGTCAACATTTAACCAGAATATAACTGAAAGCTCAATCTCAAAGTGAAAACAGTTGAATGAAAATGAATCCTACTGAAAGAAAGTTAAAATTGAATAAATTGTATCGATTTAATTGTTGATTGATGTTCAATTTTTGTTTGACCATTCAATGTTAATCCAGATATGTTTAGTAAAATTGTTTGGTAATGAACCTCAATTCCGGAGAAGAGATGTTAATCTTAAACTTGCCAGGCCACTTTGCAAAGGTCAAACATTTTTTTCGCTAATAAAATATATTACCGTTTGCAGGTTTTAATGTTGACTTTCAGGTTTTGTTTTTCATCCAATATTATTTTACTTGAAATGCAAAATAGCAAAACATGAAACTGAAAACAACTGACTTGCTGACCTCTTCATTCATGTTTTTCATTCAAAAGATGGGTCAATCGTTTTATTAGATTAGACGCTAAATTGAATAGTTGAGAACCATTAATAACCAACACATAAAGTCTCATCCAGATTAAAGGTTGATTAGTTAACACACTGATTAGCTTTAAAACAGATTAGTCAAAACAGTTTGCCTTCTGTTATTTTTTCTTGTACTTTTCTGATCCATCCAAATCAACTGTAATTGGTGATTGTGATTAACGTTCACCAATTGACTGGCCCAAATTGAGTATATAATTCAAATGAAAGTGAAAGGCAAACATCTAATAATATTAATGGTGAGAGATAAGATTTAAATTGTGCTTCATTTAACAATATCCAAACATTTGATGATTGATTAGACGTTTGTTTTGGTTTCATTTCATGATGATAATGTTACATGAATTAGCAAAGTTTGACCTGAAAAGTAAAACTAACGGAAAGATTTATTCGTAAAGATAAATTTCAAATGGTCAAAAGTTGGTCAAAAATGAGAGAAGCAAAAATATCTAATTCAATGAATCCGATTAACCTTTGAAAGATTATTTTAAAACTGATATATTTTACCATTTGTGTTGATTGTGATGATTAGTAGAGAGAAACAATTTGTGATTACAATTTAGTTTTAATCGTAAACAATTGAATCATCTTTTGCAAGAAAAAATTCAATTGAAACAATTAACAAAATTGGTTGACTAATCAAGTGTGTTTGGGATTCGCAAGGCTGCGTAAAATTGGTAAACTTTGGGTTTAATTTTGGGTTAATTGTCAATGGGATTGGATTGAAATCATCTTTTAATTTACCAAATCAAATGTAATTTTTTGTTTTGTTAGTTTCGGTATAAATAATAATTGGTTTAGAATGGATTAAAGGTAAAAAAGATGGTTAAAAGTGAGTAATGATGAAAATAAGGACAGATATTATATGATGAAGATGACCCAAGAAAATGACCTGGAAACTTGTTTGTATCTAACTGTTTCCATCATTATCTACTGAAGTTAACTTCAAGTTCACCATTTCAGGATTCATGGCGAAATGGATTCATGTTAATCAAGTATAATAATAAATGTGATTCCAAGTAAAATTCAAGTTTAAACCAAATTAAACTTGCGGTTGTTGGTGTTTTTTAAAGCGTAACCTTTTTCATTTCACTTTTCAACTGAATTGAAAAGTGAAAGTTTGTAAATGATCAAAAATGGTTATACATTTGTTTTGATTGTTGCACGCAAATGTTCAAATCTCAAGTTCACTGCGTGAATCTCATCAACATGTTGATTCTCAGCATGACGATGAATAATGGCAGTGCAAAAGGCAACAAAAATGTAACATTTATAGTTTACAAGCTGAAAAACAATAGGTAAAAGTTGATCATGAAACAAGTCAAATAAAATTGAAATTAATCATTTGCATTAAAATAAACATTGAGATGAAAAATGTGCCTGAGTTGAGATTGTGTCTGATGTCAAGTAAAGTAAAGTTGACTTACTAAATGAATTGACAAGCTGATTAAGGGTATCATAAATGTGTGCTCCATATTTTGGGTTCATTGAGATGAAATCAATCTTGGACATTGAACATAATTGTTGGCCATTCATGTTTGCATAAGCCAAGGGTTGAACATCATCGACATCAATGTTGCGATCGCCGGCCCAACTGAATATCCAATGCCAAACATCTTCGGATGTCCATTGGTCTGGAGGCTTTGATTCCCAGTAGCGTGATTCCAGGTCAGAGGCAAGTTCGGAAAGAAAGGGTGAATTCTTGGAAATGTCCATTGTCCAAAATGTTGACATGAGTCCATCAAATTTTCCGTCAATATAGTCGGTATATTTACAATTGCCATTCATGTGATGATTATTGATCACATTGGAGTTGATGTTATTCATGTTAATGACACTGTGACCGCTGTGATTACTGTTTGAACTATTACTGTTGTTACTTGTAATACTGCTATTACTATTGGTGTTGGTGTTGCTGATTAAGTGGCTTGAATTGATGTTATTGTTGACCATTAGATCCAAAGGGAGGGTTACATTGTTTAAGTTGGTTGTGGTTGTTGTTTGAGCTGATGATTTAGTAGAGACGGGTGAAAGTGAAGGTGAGGTTGATGTTGATGATGGACAGTGTGATAGAGGAGAGGGTGATGTGGATGTTGTTGTTGCTGGTGCAACAGGTGAAGAGGAGGATGAAGATGATCTGTTTGAAGGACTCTGGCTTGGTGAAAGGCTTGCATTTGAATTGGGACTTGAAAGTTGCTGGTGTTGATGTTGTTGCTGTTGGTGATGAGAAATGTGATGTTGTTGTTGCTGCTGTTGGTGGGGATTTGCAAGTTGCTGTGAATGTGTTTGATGGTTAGCATTGTGATGATGATGGTGTTGTTGGTGATGGTGATGATGGTGAGAGTGATGGGTAGAGTTCAAATTTGTTTCACTGTTTTCCAATCCCTGGTCATGATAGTGTCCATTCAAGTCTGTGGATAAAGTCAATGTTGGCCCAACAGGGTCTAAGGTTAAACTGGTCAACGGGACACTTGAAGATAAACTTGAAAGTATTTCCTTTGTATCAGCACTAGAGTCAAAAAAGTCACCAGTAAAACACTCGTACTTTATTATATCCAAATGAGTGTGAAAAAAGCCAAATAAAACCAATGAAATAAATTGCAATAAAATTAGATAAATGATTAATCAATTTTTGGGTTTTCATAAATTCAACTCTAAACTCTAACATTTTAATATTGCTCCATCTTGTGGGATTAAAAGGTTACATACAAAGGATAGTTAATTATCTTAATCTATGGATCCGATAGATAATTATCGGTAACAATCTTAATGTTTGCCTATTATTTTTCATTACTAGATGACCATTTGTAATTCAATTAATTGTCGTGTTTTTAATTTAATCGTCCCAACCATCTTACAGTAAATACAATTGATTAATATATTATGGAAATGTGATCTGTTAAATAATGTATGCGTAACTGTAATTTAAACAGTTCTCTCCTTTCTTTGGTCCTGTCTTTCAAAGCTGATATCACTATCAATCGCTATTTCTTGTTACTGTTGTTACTGGATTCTGTTATTGCTTGGAGGTTTAATTGAATGTGATTTACTATCAAAGAGAGGAATCAAAATGGTGATATATTTAAACTGATGTTAGATGTTAACATTTGTATTTAAATTATAAATAGTTAAAATCTTATTACAAGCAAGTCACAAAATGATCATCTGATTTTAAATAAGACAACTTGAACTTGACATACACACATTTCCACACATTACATTAAATTGGAAAGTGATCATGATAAGCCTTAATGACGACAATTAATTAATGGTGATATTATATTAAAGACTCGTTTGAATGTCATTTAATTTGAAATTATGATCAACAGATGCAAAGACAAAGTTAAATAATGGCCATTTGGAATGATCAACTGTCAAAAAGGATACGTGTTTAATCAATCTAATGTCTAATAATATCGATCAATACAAATTGCTAACGAGATTGTTTGTTTCCTAAGCAAATGAAAACACTATTAACCAGCAATAATATTGATTAAAACAAGATTTTCAACTTACCAAGCTTGTGTCATTATTAACCATCAGCATGGTTATGCTGTTATTTGGTTGACAGTCAAACTGATTATGAACCATAACAGCAAATGAAGATTTAAAATGGAAAACGTTTTCTTGGAAACTGATGCAAAACTAGGAATCGTAAAAAGGTGTACAACAAAGATTAATCCGATTAATTGTCAACAGTAAATGATTGTCGAAGTTGATTGTAAACGCAAAAAAGAGTTGCCAATGTTAATCCATCCAAATTGATCAATCAATAGTAAACATCACAAAATGAACTAGAAAATTGGAAGCAAATGGAAGAAGATGAATTGTCACAAATAATTTTGATGATCAATATTGAAACAGTAAACAGTTAATTAGTAAACAATCAAATGATGGGACAAGCAAAATCATTGGTTAAAATGGGCAAGAAATGAGGTTGAAAAGGCGAAGGCAAAACATAAAGTTAAACTCGTTATCGTCAATGAATCGCGTTCAGTAACGAAATTGAAAGTGAAATTTGAACGGGAAAAAAACCGTGAAAAGAGAGAGAAACTGGAGGTTGGCTTCGAATTTCAAAGAGAGAGAGAAAAAGAGAGAGAGAGAGAAAGAGATGATGAGGGAGAAAGTGAGAGTGAGATTCGAAAGGTTGTCAGGTAAGATTTAAAGCGAAAGTGAAAACTGGGTGAGAGCATGTGAAGAGCTCTTCTTCTTCTTCTTCTTCTTCTTCTGATGATGATGATGATGAGATGAGTATGGGATGAGAAATGATATTTAAATGATGCTGTTGTACGACGTATTAACGATTGTAAATGTTATTAGGAGAGAAAAAATTATTTTCTCTATTTTTACTCCATCATTTGCATTTAACCCAACACACAGTTTTACCCTCTTTACGTAATAAAACGATCAACCAAAATTATCAACGCAATTGAACTTGAACATTCCCAGTGTAACGTTTAAACGTCACAGACATTTTCTGGCAAGATTAAATGTCATAATCATTGATTGATTATGATTGCCGCAATTTGAAACGATAAACAAAGGCATTTAGATTGGGCAATTCCATTGACATAAATAGAAACGGAAAAATCGAATTAGCACCAAACTCGAACTTGAATGATGGAAAATTCAGTGCAACATTACTGACAAACTCTAGACTCTATATTGTTATCAAACCAATAAACTCAACTCAACTTTATTGCAAAGAAACTTTGTATTGAGTAAAAACATTGAAACCCCAATATGTGGCTTCAGTTGTCTGGTTGTCTTGAGATTTGGAAATTTTTGGATTTAAACGAGGTTCGACTTTATTGGTCAAGAAATGACTTGATTTGATTTTATTAAACATTTGGTGCGAACATTGAATTTCAATTTCGGTTAAAACTGAAAGATCGAACTGAAAGGTTTCGTCTGTTATTGCGGCGACAAATTGTTAACCTGAAAACAGTTGCTTTTAAATCTGTTGACTAGAGTTGAACATTTTGAATAACAATCCATTGGAATTGCTTTAGCACAGTTTTAAAGTTATTGATATTATATCATTAAACCCTTAGGCCTTACATTTACGTCACAATTATCTATGGACTTTTTTTTCTACTTAAATTACATGCGATTTAGATTGAATGTATTTTTAGATTGTTTATTAATGGTCATTCATGAAACTTGTTTACTGACATTTAAAGGACAACTTTGTTGTCTGTATTTTAGGACCATTTAGGATTGCAATCAGGTACAAAACATAAAAGGTTGAAAAGTATTAAGCCTTTTCAAGGTGGAAAACATTAAACTGTTGTTTATTGGATTTGTTGTTGTTTACTGGTTAAATAATTAACTTGATTGGGTTTCTTCCTCCGTCAATTATGTGAAATATTTAACACAGTTTGGCCGTTTCATTGGAACACAATTGAAACGATGCGACAAAAGCACTTTTCCAATGTAAGTTGAGACAAACTATTGAACCAAATGGTGAGTGAAAACTGTAAACTGAGGCTGTCCTTGTAACTATTGGTAATCATCATTTTTAAATTGTTAATGATGTTAATGATGGTCTACGGATGAATTGTGATGAATATTACCTGAGTAAACATGGGTTGATGTGGAGGTGGAAGGAGGAGGCTTGATGAGGGTTAATAGGTTTTTCAATGTGTAAACACGCAAGTTGCCAAGTTAAATTAACCATTAAAACTTGATCAATTGATAATTATCATTACAATGTTTTAATACAATAGTTTTTGGAAAGTTTTGGGTTAACCTTTTTGGTTACATTGGTTTTCACTTTCTTCAGTTTGGTCAATTGATGAATTGGTTAGTAAATGTCCATCAAAAGATGAATATTGAAAAGTAAATTTACTTGACCTTCCAATATTGACATTAATGACAATCAAATCAGTGATTAAATGGTTTTTATTTGGCTTTAAAATTAGCGGCGATTTGGTAATAAACTGAATTAATTTTATTTTAACTCATAAATTGAATGGTTTGTAAGGTTTGATGAAATGAAAAGTTAAATTTTCAACATTAAACATGATAAACTGAAACTTTGATTCAAGTTTAATGTTGAGGGAATCATTTCATGCATTCACTTTGAATGGCTCAACAAAAGCTGTTGATAAAAATTCATGAATTTATTAATCCGTTTGAGAGATAATAATGCGAAATAACGAAATGATACTTAATGAACTTTGAACGGAAAAAACTGTGCATCAATTTAACCTGAAAATGTTTCGTTTGTTTTCAAGTTACTTTGTTAGTTGACCAAATTTAGATGAAAAAATGATCGATACTAGAGTCGGTTAGAATAATTAGTAAAGTTTTTTTCTCAATGATGATACAAAACTTTCCGATGATTTAGTTGAATTCATTGATGGTTTTGGCCAACTTGCTTTGCATCAGTAATCAGTTAAGCAGCACACCAATTCAACAATGAAACTAAATCTTCGCTGAATTTTAAAGTCTATTCAGCTTATTGTTTTCACTCAACGAGAATTGTGTTACTTTCAATAAGTTGTTTCCCTGTTTTACTTCAAATGCAATTTGTAAATGCTTTTTCTGTACGAAAATTTCTTGTTACAAAATAACCAGATGATGCGATGTGAGTTGCATGATATCGGAAGAACAATATCTTTCCATTGAGTATCAATGTTATTCAAAAACCTAATATCTTGAAGTATGGCTAAAAGTATTGCAGTACTTTTAATATACAGGACTTTTTATGCCTGTTCTAGTGCATAGTTCAAATCACGAACTTTCGAAACTTCTTTGGTCAAAATTTTGAAAAATTGCATAATTCTGATCAACTGGTTCAACTGGTGGTAAAAATTATTTTACTTTTAGAAGTGCTTTACACAAGTGATCGATGGTTAGTTTTACCCTACTGATGACTTTTGAAAGAAACTCTGTCATAACAGGAAGAGCCCTGCTGTATGTCTCTGCTCAACTGAGCAATGTCACCCTATCATCCAAGGAGTTATGACTGAACGGCTCTGAGCCAAAATCCCGTCATTAAACCGTTACACAATATTTACCATACTCTTTAGTGAAGAGAAAACATTAAGGTTTGGGTTGTTAATAACATCGAACTGATCATTCCGATCATAAGGAATTGATATTGGTTTAGTATAAAATGATCTATAGACAGTCCAAGAACTGAGAACATTACTTGAAAGATTAACTTCTGAGAGAACCTCATCTCTTGAGGTGGTGAAATGCCCAGAAACAAATCAAAGATCAACCTAAAACCTCAAGTTTCGTCTTTTAAATTTCGGTTACAATAATAATGCAAAATAACCCGATGATGTTTCTGAACTTTTGAGCAAAAGATGAGATCAACTTGAGCATTTCAGTTGATTAGAAAAGCTTGCCAACTCAATGGTCAATCTAGCGGTGGGACCCAAAAGTGTCGAAAGCAATGCAAGAATCAAAGATAAAATTAACCAAATTTGATGAAATGTGTTGAGCACCAAAGGTCATGATAATAAATATAAATCATTAAAATATGAATTGTAACTTTAACTGTTATCATGGTCTTGAACAAGCATATTAATGTTGCAGCTTGAAACTTGGTGAGTCCAAGACTATTATAACATGATGGTGATGCTGATGATGATGATCATTATCGGTAATTAAAGCCTCAGGAAACAGGTTAGCTAATCACGAATTATAACTTTTGCGCTCAGTGAAAAAGCAAACGAATAAACAAGAATGTTCATTTGTGTTGTGAGAAAGAAAAAGAAAGAAGAATGATAATGAAATGAACAAAATGTGAATAACGATAACAGTGTTCATAAACTAATGAATAAGTGATAAATAATGATGAAAAAAGTTGTCCAAATGTGTTGTATTAATAATGATTCAAATGAACAACAATAAAGATTATTTTAAATTTGAATTCACCATCAATTGACTTTCACTTGATCAGGTCAGTCGCAAGAGTAAAAGTAGAAGAAGAAAGCGAAAGCGAAATTAATATTCACTTTTATTCCAGAATAGGTCAAATGGCGTTGCGTGCCGATAGTAATGAACTTGAAAAGAATCTTATTTTGAGCCATTTTAATGGTTATTCAGTTTCAGAACGGGAATCAAATTGTAAAGTTAAAATGAAAATTGCTTTTGCTCATTAATATTCACTTTCACTTTTACCCTTTCATCCGTGAATTTTGGTCTCTCTTCACTCTCTCATCATGAAATGCCAATTATTGAATGAAATCAATTTCAATCGGATAATAAAGAGTTAAAAAGATGTTTGCAAGAAATGCTTCAAATTACCATTTTGACCTCTAATTTGGTTGCCAAGCCTTGCGGCTCAAGACCCAAGTTCAAGATCAGATTTGACCTTCTCACTTTCACTACATTAACATGATTAACATGATAATTTTCAAACCTTCATGTTCCACTGCCTGAGTTATCAAAATTAACTGCTCCTTCTTTAGCCATCAACATCATCATCATGATGGAAACAGGAGCAACATTTTTCAACTTTAACCGAACCTGACCTGTTAACCTTGGAATCAATGTTTTTACATATTAAGTGTTGGCACAATTTTGCTTTTTTTTCGTGGAATCGCAAAGTTCATTATCAAATCGAGAATTTCACAATTTTCGCTATTCTATCATCAAGTGACACTTTGATGAACCTTTTTAATTGTCTCACCTTTAAGCGCGTTTATTAACACTCATTGTTGACCATTTAACTTTGTCCAGTTTTATCATTCATCTGAAACTATAACTCAGCTAATTGATGATTATTGTTTGCCTTTTTCATCAGTTTAATCAATCAAAGTAAACCTTTCAATATTTTTACGCTTAACTTTTCAAATGGAAACAACACACAAACTGAAAATAACAGTTAATCACTTTACAAGCTGTTAATGTTTCATATTTTTCATCGATATTTCCTTGTGCTTCGAGTTTTCCAGGTAAAGTTGAATGAATCCAATCGAACCTTGGGTCACTGACAAACTAACGTTTGGTAAACAAATACAATTTTTGCTCGTGAAGCAAGTAGAGAGTTAAAGAACT